ACAAGGGTGTACTAGCAAAATAACGAGAGTAAAAAGTCCCCTTTTACAAAAGTGTAGCCTTTTATACCAAAGGCAGAATACGCCTCAACGGCTGTGATTAACCCATCTAACGGCTGCAAAGACACCGTTTCGAATTCGAGGGTTAACCCCAAACGGTACCGTTTCGAACTCGACGGTTCGTTTTTTACATCTGCCCGTTGGGCTGTTGCATTTATCTTTTTACAGCGGCATTTATTACGCACGCCATTCAAAGGACAACTGTCGCATCGCGCACCACCTCTTCGACAAACTTCTCAGATGGGCCCGCCGAAGCCCATTTCAACACACTTGCTCACTTTTGTCCAATTTAAATTTTGCTCAAGTGTTTTACTTCGGCTCCGGCCACAGTGACACAGTGTCACATATTTTACTTTGGCTCCGGCCACAGTGACACAGCGTCACACGTTTACTTCGGCTCCGGCCACAGTGACACAGCGTCACACGTTTACTTCGGCTCCGGCCACAGTGACACAGCGTCACACGTTTACTTCGGCTCCGGCCACAATGACCCAGTGTCACATATTTTACTTCGGCTCCGGCCACAGTGACACAGTGTCACAGTGTCACACGTTTACTTCGGTTCTGGCCACCGTGACCCAGTGTCACATATTTTATTTCGGCTCTGGCCCCAGTGACCCAGTGCCACACGTTTCACTTTGGCTACGGCCACAGTGACCTAGTGTCACGTTTTGCTCTGGTCACAACCACCATGACTCCGGTCATTACTTTTTATTATGATTCATAACTAAATGTTGCCCATGGTCATCTATGCATGTAAAGTCACGGATTTTTATTTCCATAACTCATCTTTATGTCTCTTTCTTCCTATTTTTGCACTACCCCTATTACTTCCACCAATATCATTCACAAGTGAATGACTTCGTGGGGGGGGGGGGGAATAGTGTAAGAGCAGGTCCGAGGTGCCCAACCTCGGACGGACGACAGTAATTCCTTCACAACCAAAGTGAAGAGTAAATCCAGAGTTTCCCGCTCGAATAGCTACACAGCTGTTACGATGGACATCCTCGCATCTAAGTATATCTCAATCTCTCGGTCCCGAAATAACTGCTTGGAGATACACATCAAATCCCGAATATCTTGCTTGGCTCAATCTCCCGATCCCGAAATAACTGCCTGGAGATACACATCGGATCCCGGATATCTTGCTTGGCATCTTGTTTGGCATGCCGCGTGGATTCTTCATCGGAACATATAAATACTCCTTAAGGGTCACGCCAAAAGGTAATTGAAACCAGCCCTAAGCTCCTTATTCCTCCGCTCTAAAGGTAGCCCCGATTATTGCTGACTTAAGCATCGGAGTGTCTACCCCGAGGATCCACCTTGGAGCTTTGCAGGTCAATTCAGAGTGCAGATCCGGACTAAAGAAGGACTTTTGATTTGGTGCAGTTACAGAATCCTAATAACAATTAATCCAATTTGAAAGGAGAAAGCATTATCCATAGACACAGTCGTATTAATTATGCTTTTTCCCCGACCTAGAACCTAAGTTTGTATTATTAGGCTGCTACATATGTAGTTCTTCTAATTCATATCTCTGTTGCTGTTGTGCATCATTGGCTTTAATAAAAACTATCATATATTGATTAATTTACAGATATATAGCTATACATATATGGAGTGGTTTAATAAGATCAGAGATGCTGTTAAGTATTGGTGGAAGAACGAGACCCACAAGCCAGGGATCTGCATGAGGAGTGGGTTAGAAATAGGTATTTATCCTCGTCCTTTGCTGCAGGGCCTTTGCCATTCTTTCTAGACTCTAGGTGGTGGAAGAAGAGGAGGGAAGAAGAAGCTGCTGTCGCCGTCACCGCCACCGCCGCCGCCGCCGCCGCATCGGGTGATTGAAGTTGATACCACTATGCACCAAAAAAATATATCTCATCGTGATTAACATTCCATCGAGTACTTTAGTTTTATGTCTACAAGTTGGCTAGCTAAGACTTTATTTGTATTTTAATTTCCTTTCAACCTTTTTGTTGGTTAGTTATTTACGATCATTATGAGATATATTTAACTATTACTCTCACTTGACGTCGTGTTTAATGTCTAATTGAAATTGAAGAATTGAACTTTAAAGAAAAGTAGGCTCATTTTTAGTGATAGGTGATGGCAAAACTCTGCCTTTTGGGTCTTCTAAAATGCTATACGAGCAAAGGCAGCATTTTTAGTGAAAATGCTGAGACACCTATGCATTTGGCAGCGTTTTTAAGCGCTGGCTTAAGTCGGCTTGATTTTTTTGTTATAATTGTTGTTGCTACTCCCTCTTATCCGGAATAATTAATGTTTAATGTTTTGTTGACTCAATTTATGCTCCTCCGACAGTACGTGATCTTCACTGCGCGGGCCTGTCTCATGTGCAAGGTTTTTGTTTGTGGGGCCATCTGGTTGGACTTGGAATTGGAAAGGAGGTGAACGGCGACGGAAGAGGGAGAGTTGGCTGGAGAATTCGCCGAAATTGGAGGGTAGGGCTCGGTCGAGCCCTAACCACTTAATATTTTCCCACTTTTACAAAAACGACGTTCTTTTGCATCCCTCATGTGCTTTTGTTGGAGCTGTGGTGTCAAAGCTGCACAAGAGGCAACAAATGGAAAGAAAGCTGCACAGGTGGTAGCAAAATGAAATGAAGGAAGAGCTGCACCAAACACCATAGCAGCAGAGTGCAGTAAGTTATGCTGCAAATGTTGATGAAATGAGGCTGTAATGAAATGCAAATGAGGCTGAAAAGTAGCAGCAAGTACAACCACATGAAGTTGCACAAGTGGCAGCAAATGAAAGGAAATGAAGCTGCACAAGTGGCAGCAAGTCTTTTAATGTAATCTGGCATTAAATGTATTAGATAAGTATGAAAATTACTGTTGATGTATTGAGATATTTCTGCTATTTAATAGCAGAACATGAATGAGAAAATGAAGTTTTCACCTCACCAAAGAGGGAACTCCTGTGTGCCTCCCTTCTCTTCCAAGTCCTTTCCTTTTTTCAAAAAACTCATCCAACATGGTATCAGAGCTTAAATGATCTTGTGGGACCTCTGAGTGTGAGTTTGAGTGAACACTAAAAAAAAAAAAAAAAAAAACCCACATTTCTTTGTTTTTCAGATTGTTTTTCATGTGAAACCTCTCTTGGTTGGCCAAAATCTTGCAGCAAAAAAGGCTATGAAGATGGAGGCATATGTTAGTCCCACCATGGGAGATGTTAAGGAGAGGAAAGCTGGATTCGAAGAGAAGGTGTCCATGGATTCTACAGCTAGCAGTCTAAAGGGGAAAAAAGTCTGTGAAGGGTGCAGCCTGAGAAAGAAAGAAAACTCAGAGCATGCATCAAATCCTGTTCACCAAAAGTTGAATCTGATCTATATCCCTAAGGAAGTTGTAGATGGAAATGAAAAAAGAAGAAAATTGAGCAACTTACGGGAAGGCTCAGCAAAGCTCCAAAAAAATGTGTGAAAGTAACAAATCCGAGCAAGATGAAGCTGCAACATTGAAGGAGGAGCTGATCTGCTAAAGGAGATGCTTTAGTAGCAATAAAAAATCAAAACCAAAGCATAAAGAACTGCATAAATGGTAGATTCCAAATGCTTAGTTGATGTCATGTTATTCTCAACTTTAACACCAAGGAGGAGTGTTGGAGTTGTGGTGTCAAAACTACACAAGAGGCAGCAAATGGAAAGAAAGATGCACAAGAGGCAGCAAATGGAAAGAAAGATGCACAAGAGGCAACAAATGGAAAGAAAGCTGCACAGGTGACAGCAAAATGAAATGAAGGGGGAGCTGCACCAAACACGATAGCAGTAGAGGACAGCAAGCTATGCTACAAATGTTGATGAAATGAGGTTGTAATGAAATGCAAATGAGGCTGTAAAGTAGCAACAAGTACAGCCACATGAAGCTGCACAAGTGGCAATAAGTCTTTTAATGTAATCTTGCATTAAATGTATTAGATAAGTATGAAAATTACTGTTGATGTATTGAGATATTTTTGCTATTTAATAGCAGAACATGAATAAGAAAATGGAGTTTTCACCTCACCAAAGAGGGAACTCCCGTGTGTCTCCTTTCTCCTCCAAGTCCCTTCCTTTTCTCATAAACACACCTACAGCTTTAGCCCATAGCTTCTACTTGCATGACTCTTTGGTCCTCATTTTCAGTTCATATTGCACTTAAGTCCCTACATAACAAAACTTCAATTTTTAAATATTTTTCAATTTAGTACAAAACGCTAATAATCTCGTTTTTTTCATTAGTTAAATTTGCTGAATTTCCCACACCACATTGCCGTTCAAATATTTTGTAATTTTTTATTTAAAACTTAAGAACTTGTGAGAAATCAAAGTTTTAGAAAAATTAAGATTTTTTTCTTTTTCAAATATTGTAAGGGTAGGTCCGAGGTCCTTAACCTCGGATGTACTGCTACAGTTCCTTAATAACCGAAGTTAAGTTAAATCCAGCACTTCTCGATTAAATGGCTGCATGATAGATACACTGAACATGCCCACACCTGATTTATCACACATAATTTCCCAATCTCGAAATTATCGTCTGAAGGGACACGTCACACTCCGATTATACTGTTAAGCAAGCCACGTAGACACCTCACTAAGGCCTATAAACACCCCCTAGGGGTCACCTCAGAAAAGTAATTAAAACCAACCTAAAGCTCCTTTTTCCATTATTCTAAAGGTAGATCCGAGTATTACTGACTTAAGCATCGAAGTGTCTACCCTGAGGATCCACCTCGAGGATTTGCAAGTTCATCTAGAGTGAAGACGTAGACTGAAGAAGGATCTCTCGTTTGGTGCAATTACATTGGCGCCATCTGTAGGAATCCGAGCTAAAAGCTCCTTTGTTGCTTTCTCATCATGGTCAACACTCGATCTATCCGAGCTGGAAATCAGGCTCAACCTCTTAGACAAGGTCAAGGGCAATACCCTAACAACCTCCCACCTCACCTCCCACCTCAAATCCCAAACCTATTCCCTTTTGTTGAACATGCAGAAGGAGGAGATGAAAACCAACCTCACAACTTAGCCCACAACTCAGCTTCCACTCCTAATCAAGGAAATGTAGTCACAACTCAACTTGCTGCTATGCAACAGCAGTTCGGTGTCTTTCAGATAGTCTTGGCTCAGCTCTTAGCTCGGAATAATCCTGGTGATCCCCTCATCAATCTACTTAACCTTACTCAACAACCCCCTGTTCAACAACAGGATCCTCAACTAGTTCAACATGCTCCTGCTCTTAGTGAGTCTCAAGGTCAGTCTCACGTAGCCCCAGTTCAACAACCTCTACCTAATGATGTCACACGACGTTTGGATAGCTTAGAAAAACTGGCAGCCAAGCAACGAGGTGCCCTACCTCCACACCATAACATTGATTCCAATACCTCATCCTCTAAACACTAGTATTACACTAAAACCTTATCCCGCTGGTTTCAAAATACTCAGCTCGAGACATGTGATGGAACGAAGGATCTGGATGATCACCTCCATGCCTTCTACTCCTGTATGCAAGCTCAGAACGCTTTTGATGCGTTGATGTGCAAAATCTTTCCCTTTACTCTCCGGGGTAATGCTCGAACCTAGTACTATAGTTTGCCTTAGAGATCTATTAACTTTTATACAAAAATGACATATGCTTTTGTTACAAAGTTTTCTAGTAGAAGGTTGATTAGGAAAACCACTTCTGAACTGATGCAAGTTAAACAGAGGGACGGAGAATCTCTAAAGAATTACATGAGCAGGTTCAATGATGCAATTCTCGAAGTCAGCTCATTCAACCAAGCCATAGGAATTGCGGCTGTAATTCAAGGTCTCCAACATGAGAGATTCGGAGATAGCTTAATTAAGCATCCTGCTGCTACTTTTAATGAGGTTAATGACAGATCCTTGAAATTCATAACTACTGAGGAATATGCCTTATCACAAAAACCATTTCTTCCCAAGAATCAAAACCTAGATTGGAAAGATGAGGGTCAGAGCAGAAAGTGGATCAAGACAGTACAGAGCCGAGGTCTGATGTCAACCTCCACATCGAGATTCGGAAAGCCGAACTTGGTACCCCCAAGTAAATTACCAATAAAGCACCAATTACATGGATTCCTTTCAATCTGCCGAGGTCGCAGATATTCATGCAGATCAAGAATAAGATGGATTTGAGGAGATCAGGATCGATGAGAAGTTTTGTTGCTACATGTGATCATACTAGATACTGTGATTTTCATCAAGATCATGGTCATACAACAGAGGAGTGTAATAGTTTGAGGTCCGAATTGGAAAGTCTAGCTCAGAAGGGAATTCTAAATGAATACATCTAGAGAACAGAGCAACTAAAGTTCGTTAGAGAACAAGGGCCACAACCACAAAGATCTTGTAATGTAAGCAACAGGCAAGGCGTGGGACATCAACAAGCTTCACCTCCACTCCCACCACCAGCCAGAATTATACATATGATTACAGGAGGCTTGGAAGCACGGGGTTTGAGCTCTAAACAACAAAAATTGTATATCAGGGAGATGAAACGTCAAAACCGAGCTCAGAAACGAAAGTTTAACGACGTTGACTGGAATAATCAACCCATCACTTTCACACCTGCCGACTTCGATGCAATTATCACACTTCATAATGATCCTTTGCTCACTTCCATTATGATTAACAGTTATAAGGTAAAATGTGTCCCTGTTGACACAGGAAGTGCACCAGACATTATGTATTTTCACTGTTTTAAGAGTCTTAGACTAGATCTAGCTTTGTTGTAGAGGTACGATGGTCCTATATATGGATTCAATAACCAACCTGTTCAGGTAGAAGGAGTCTTTACCCTTAATGTTGCTTTTGGGAGCAGCCGAACTTATGTTACCCCTTCAGTTCAGTTTCTAGTTATCAAAATGGCATCCTTCTTTAATGTTGTTATCGGACGACCTACATTAATTGAGATCCGAGCTGTGGTCTCTCAATCTCACCTCTACATGAAGTTCCCAACCCCCATGGGGATAGCAACACTACAAGGTAACCAAGAGGTGGCTAGACATTGTTATATTACCTCGGTTACAAGGCCTTAGAAAGGCAAAGATCAGACATCAGAAACCATTCCCCAGCAAGTTCATGATAATCAGCATGTGATGGGGGTAGAGATAATAGATAACCGACCTGAAGATGAAACTAGAGCTACCCCAGTTGAGGATGTAGAGGAAGTGCAACTTCATGACAGATATCAAAACAGGACGACACAAATTGGAACTCGGTTGAACCCAAAGGAAAGAACAGAGCTAATAGCTTTCCTCCGAGCGAACAAAGATGTCTTTGCTTGGACCTCAGTAGACATGCCAGGGGTTCCAACCTCGGTATCTCAGCACAAGCTTAGCACCAATCCATTGAAGAAACCAATAGCCTAGAAGTGACATCTCTTTGGGGGGGAGAGGCTTCAGGTTATAAAAGAAAAAGTAGAGAAACTCCTGCAAGCTGGCTTCGTCAAGAGAGTTGATTACTATGAATGGGTGGCTAATCCAGTGTTGGTCAAGCAAGCAAATGGTAAATGGCGAATGTGCATCGATTACACAAATCTCGACCAGGCTTGTCCCAAAGACTGTTATTCGATGCCAAGCATTGACAAACTAGTTGAAGCGGCTTCCAAAAATGAGAGATTAAGTCTCTTAGATGCATATTCTGGTTACCACCAAGTGCCGATAGCTCCGGAGGATGAAGAGAAAACCTTTTTCTATGCTGGTGATGAAATTTATTGTTATGTCATGATGCCCTTTGGCTTAAAGAACACAGGTGCCACTTACCAGAAGATGGTGACCATCGTATTCCGAGCTCAAATCGGCAAGAATCTGCAAGTTCATGTTGATGACATCGTGGTAAAGAGTCTGAAAGCAAAAAATCATCTAGCTAACCTTGATGAAACATTCAATAACCTCAGAAATAACATAATGCGGTTGAATCCAACAAAGTGCATCTTCAGCATAGAGTCTGGGAAATTTCTAGGCTTCATAGTTTCTCGGAGGGGGATTGAGGTTAACCCAAAAAAGATCAAAGCAATAATCGAGATGGAACCGCTAAAGTCGGTGAAAGATATACAGAGATTAACTAGAAGGGTGGCAGCTCTTCATAAATTCATATCGAAGTTAGCAGATAAGTGCCTGCCATTCTTCAAGATTATGAGATTAGCAGCACAGAAGTTTGAATGGAACCCAGAATGCTAAGTTGCATTCGATAAGCTGAAGTCTTATCTTAGCTCACCCCCTTTGCTGACAAAGGCTATAGATGGAGAAATCCTCTATTTGCACCTCGGTATTTCAAATGAAGCAATTAGTTCTGTCCTAGTGAGAGAAGAAGGCAAACAGCAGAAACTGATTTATTATACCAGCAGTGTACTACACAAAGCAAAACTAAGATACCCTATTGTTGAGAAAGTGGCGTTAGCAGTTATCACTTCGGCCAGAAAGCTGAGGCTATATTTCCAATCACACCCAATCATAGTCCTCACAGACCAACCTCTCCAACAGATCCTTCCGAAGCTAGAGTGCTCAAGAAGGTTAATTAAATGGGCAGTAGAATTGGGGGAATTCGAGATAATGTTTCAATAGAGGTTTGCAATCTAAGCTCAAGCACTAGCAGATTTTATCGTGGAATGCACTCCATGTCACCCAAACTCTAACCCTGAGCCGAGCAACTGGATCTTATATGTTGATGGAGCATCTAGTAGCAAAGGTTCAAGAGTTGGTGTGTTCTTAGTTGGCCCAGATGAATATCGAAGTGAGCATGCTTTGAAATTTAACTTCGATGCAACTAATAACATGACTGAGTATGAAGCTTTGCTACTTGGTTTGCAACTAGCATTGGAGCTAAAAGTCACAGCCATAAGAGTTACAGTGACTCGCAACTTGTGGTTAATCAAGTCAACTCAGTCTGCAAGGTTGTTGATCTTGTCATGATGAAGTATGTAGCCCTGGTGGCCGAGTTGAAGTGCAAGTTCCAAAAATTTTGTTTGAGCAAAATTCCTCGATCCGAGAATGAACAGGCAGATTCACTTTCTAAGTTCGCCTCTGATAGCTCCTTAAGCTACAGATCAATTTTCGTTGAAGTTTTAGATGAGCCGAGCTTTATGAAGCCAAGAATGATGGAGATTAGCACAGACCCAAATACACTGAGCTGGATAGATCCAATTGTCTCTTTTTTACGAAATTGGTCAGTGCCTGCAGATAAGCAAGAAGAGATAAGGTTGAGAAAGAAAGCATCTCGATACACACTCATTGATAGGGTCCTCTATAAGAGATCTTTTTCACTTTCTCTCCTACGATGCTTGAATCCTTATGAAGTTGAGTACGCACTTCGGGAGGTACATGAAGGTGTATGTGGAAGCCACATTGGTGCTAGAACCCTGGCTCACAAAGTCCTCAGACAAGGATATTACTGGTCGAATATGTATAAGGATGCTACTCACTTTGTACAAAAATGCTCGAAGTGCCAATTCTTCGCGCATTTAACTCACCAACCGGTAGAAGAGCTCACCAACTTGGTAGCACTGTGGTCATTTGCTTTGTGGGGACTTGATCTTCTAGGCCCATTCATGAAGGGGGTTGGAGGTGTAACCCATCTAATTGTTGGTGTTGATTATTTTACGAAATGGGTTGAAGCTCGGCCATTATCCAGTCTTACTTCCAAAAAGGTCGAAGACTTTGTTTTCAGCTCAATCATCTGTAGATATGGAATTCTGAATCAGATTATAGCTGATAATGGTACTCAGTTTAACTGCTCTTCATTCAGAGATTTTTGCTCCAATTACCGAATCAAACTACAGTTTACCTAAGTATACCATTTGGAGTCCAATGGTATGATCGACTCTGTAAATAAAGCTATCCTCAAGGGAATAAAGCCAAGGTTGGAGTAGCACAAGGCCATGTGGGTAGACGAGCTCAACAACGTCTTTTAGGCATATAGAACTATGAGTCGAACTGCCACAGGTACTATTTCCAACCAAAGTTACATTCATTCTATTTTATTTTTTCATCTACGGCTTTACCCTAGATCAAATATGCACAACCTATAAAGCATATTCTATAACTTAATGCAATAGGTGAAATACCCTACCACTTAGCCTTTGGTACTGAAGCAGTCATTTCTATTGAAATAGGAGTCCCAATCTTTCGGGTCACCCATTTCGATGAAGGACGAAATGGACAATTACTTCGAGAGAACCTTGATCTGCTTACCGAAGTTAGAGAAGAAGCACGACTTCGAACTCTAGTATACAAACAGAAATTAGCCAACTTCTACAACAAACGAGTTCGCCCTCGAACATTCAAAGTAGGAGACCTTGTTCTTAAAAAAGCTAGTCTAACGGGGTTCGAAACTCGTTTTGGTAAATTAGCCCTGAACTAGGAAGGCCCTTATACAGTGGTCGAGGTGCCTTATCCTCCAAGATGCAGAAGGAAAGAGAGTTCCTAGAGTTTGGAATATCAATAACTTGAAGAAATTTTACCCTTAATATACTTTTTTCAAGTGATCTTTGTCTTATTCTTCTTTATAATTATTACTTCTTCATTTTGAGATCCATTTCATCTCTTAGTATGTATCTCCAAGATCAACATGTTTATTTCCGGAGTGATTTATTAATGAATTTGTTCCTTGGACTTCACTTTTATTAATGAATTTCACCTCACATTCGAAGTGATTTACTTCATCTCAGTTCACATTCAAAGTGATTTACTTTATCTCAGCTTTTATGTTAATTTAAAACAAATAAAACACAACACAACTATTACATATAATTTCAAACAACTTTCATTAAAATTAATTAATAAATATTACAAAATGTTTCGAATCAAAATTGTCCCAAAAAACAAAACAAAAACTCGTAACTATTTTGTTATAGGAGGTGGCTGAGGAGGCTGCTGATCTACTAGAAGAGGTGGCTACTCTTTTCTAGAGGAAACTGGATACACCTCCATTGGAAAAGGTGGCTGGCTTTCCTCAACTTCAGCACCTTCTACATCTGCTTCCTCTTCCTCCACTGATACGAACTCGTAGTCAAAGTTCAAAGGAAAAACGGCGCGTTCTTCTTCATCATGGTCTGACCTCAGTTTAATTTGAGGTCGGAAGTCTGCTGACATTCTCTCACCGTTTTCCTCCACCCCCTCTTCTTGTTCACCAAAGGTGATCTTCGTTACATCCACTTCGGGATATTTAGCTTTCACCTTCTTTTTACAATTAGTGAAGGCAAGGATTATGGTTGGCAACTGGTAGAGATTGACAATGTTGTCAAACGAGTTGGAGTTGACAAAGTTGCTGGCTGATATGCTCCTCTATCCCATTGTGCACCAGCAGCTGAACATTCTTCTTCGGCTCGACCACAGCTTCTTTCATCTTTTTTATTTCTTTCTCCTAAGCCTCGCGCTCACTTTCAGAGCTCTTCCTTTTTCTCTCTTCAAAAACAAGCTTCGTGCTAAGAGAATCCTTCTCCTCCTCAAGTTGTTTCACCGTTGGTACCACCTTATCCAACGACTCATTCTGCTTTTCCAGCTCACCCAGTTGCTCACACAACCTCCGTAAGAGAGTGCGCTCCTTCACACTCTCTACAAACTCTTGGGCTAAAGCATTCACCTAGCTTACACTCTGTAATTCCAGTAGAAGTTAAAAAATAAAAATAAAAAATAAAAAATAAAAAAAAATGAAGCAACAAACAACAAGCACACATAAACCAACTTAACTTACCTCTAGAGTGGGCTTAACCACTGTTGCTCCAGCATACCACAGCACCTCTTCCTTTGCCTGACGCTTGTCCACTTCGGGGAAGGTTGCATTAATAAACCTTTTTGCCCCTGTTGTGTTCTTCGCGTCAATGAAGCTGCTTCGAAAGGACAGAGGGGCAACAAGTCCTTTTGCTTCACCAGGGGCCCTTACCTCAGCCCTCGCAACCTCAAACTCCCTAAGCTCAAGATTGAGCTTAATAGGAGGAGGCCGAGGTACAAACTCCAGTACCTCGTTCCCCCCAACCTCTTGCTCCACCACCTTTTTCTTTTTCTGAAGTGCTCTTGGCTCCTCAATCCTTTTCCTTTTTCAGCTTTGGCCTTGGTAGCACTTCCTCAACTCCAGTTGAGGTGCCAGGCACCAACTCCCTCCCAACTCCTTTCTCACTCGCCTGCTTAGTTGAAGTCTCTAACTTCTTCCTCGGCTTCTTTGGAATGGCCACCCCCCCAACAGCACTCAAAAACTTATCCATCTCAGCTGCAAAACAACAAAAACAAAGAGTGTCAACAACATAACTCTACATTTAACATGAAGCACTACAATACAAAATATAAACACACCTTCACTCAAAGCGCTTAGCCCATAGAGCTTAGCAGCCTCTATATAATTCGCACTGTTGAGGTACATTATATTTACTAAATCACCCTCCTCCCTCACCAATTTCCCCACCTCTTCCTCCTCATCCTCATTTAAACTATATTTATTTTGGTTGGCTTTCTTAGCCTTCCAACATGACAAAAATTCTACCTCGACATCCCCCCTCTCCCACTCAGTGTCATCCACAAAGAAAAAATTTTTCTTCCATCCTTTAATAGATGAAGGACCTATTGCAAATAAACTCCTACTTTCCTTATTTGACATTCTAGGGGTAAAATAATATCATCCCTTTTCCTTCCTACTTCCCCCCTTAAGAACAAAAAATATTTGAACTTATTTGCAGATGGCACACTAACCCCCTGAGCTCGGCAATAAACTAAAAACTCTATTATTACCCTTATAGCATTGGGGGCTAATTGTGTCAACCCTATACTATAATCTAACAATAACCCCACTAGCAACTTAGGAATTGGAAACCTAAGCCCCATTGCCAAGTAGTGGGCATACATGGGCATCCAATTATCTTGAGGTGCAGAACATGCCCTTTCCTCTACCTCAGTAGGCCTAATTAACACTCGAGAAGAAATTTCATAACTCTTTACTAAATAACCCAGGCTATCCCTAGTCCGGAATTTAGACTCATATTGCCTCACCTCAGACACGATATCTGCCTTATAATCATAACACCCCTCATTTCTACCCCTCACCTCTAATATAGTTATAGGAATCCCCTCTCCCTCAACCCCAACTATCTCACTTCCTCCTACCCCTTCCTTCGTCCTCTCTAAGTCAGATGACTCACTGGTCATACCCACATCACCATACTCCAGCGCCCTTACTTCCTCACTGTCCCCAATGCTCAGCGTTTCCTCAGAAGACATCTCTTCAAGTTTCGTAACTTTCATTGCATGCAGTAGGGGGGGAATGAAGTCAGGATCTTCAAAAAACTCTTAATTAACGTTCATTGTCATTCTCACTCCTAAACCTAACCCCTTCAAAGGACTAAGATCTAAATCAGAAAGGGTGAAAGGAGAAGAAAACATTTTCTAAAATTTGAATCACTAAAACTAATATGTTACCTGATCTTGGTCTTGAAAGATTGATGTAGAAGTCCACAAAGAATGCAACAGTCCAGATGTAAGAACACAGTAGAATTTTGGTAGCACTTCGATAGAAAATACAGCAAAAGTAAAATCCTTTTTACAGAAATGTGGCTATATATACAAAACCAAATATATACCTCAACGGTTGTGATTACTTTGATCTGACGGTCACGGTTACACCATTTCGAATTCAACGGTTCGTTTTCCATTCCGTCTATTTAACTGTAGTCATTACTTTTCCTAGCCCGTATTTATTGTACATGTCTTTCAATAGACAACTGTCACGTCACGTACTAACTCTACGTCAAACTTTTCAAATGGGCCCAATTAAGCCCAACCCAATACTTTTGTTCACTTTCACAATAATATTTTTCAATTTTACAAGTGTTTTACCTCGACTACGGCCACAATGACTCCGGTCATCACATGTTACCTTGGCTACGACCACAATGACTCTGGTCATCACGCATTTTACTTCAGTTTCGGCCATAGTGACCACGTGACACGTATTTTACTTCGGCTCCGGCCATAGTGACCGCGTGTCACGTATTTTACTTCGGCTCCGGCCATAGTGACCCTGTGTCACATATTTTACTTTGGCTTCGGCCATTATGATTACATGCCACATTTCATTTTGGATATTGCCACAATGACCCCATGTCACATATTTTACTTTAGTTACAGCCATACATGAATTTGAGTTACCAATTTTTATTTTAATTATGACTCTAGTAACTCATCTCTAATATTCTTTCATTCATCTTTTCACCTAATTACACACTACTCCTACCACCTTTAACAACATCATTCACAAGTGAATGACTTCGAGTGGGGAATAGTGTAAGGATAGGTCCGAGGTCCTTCACCTCGGATGTACTGCTATAGTTCCTTAACAACCAAAGTAAAGTTAAATCCAGCACTTCCCGGTTAAATGGCTACATGATAGATATAGTGAACATGCCCACACCCGATTTATCACACATAATTTCCCGGTCTTGAAATTATCGCCTGAAGGGACACATCACACTTCGATTATATTGTTAAGCAAGCCACATGGACACCTCACTAAAGTCTATAAATACCCCCCAAGGCCACCTCAGAAAGGTAATTGAAACCAACCTAAAGCTCATTTTTCCATTATTCTAAAGGTAGATTCGACTATTGTTGATTTAAGTATCGGAGTGTCTACCCCGAGGATCCACCTAGGGACTTTGCAAGTTCATCCGGAGTGAAGACGTGGACTAAAGAAGGATCTATAGTTTGGTGCAAATACAAATATATTTTTTAAATGTATTAAAATAGGCTAAGCAAAAATTGGGTTATGATAGGACTAAGAATATGCATATATTGGTAGATTTCATGAACTAACTAATAGAATGATTAAAAAATTACATTTTTTTATAATTTGGGAACAAAAAAGTGTAAAAAATAGCTTAGGGGCTAAAAATGTTGGAAAATTCTTTTTTTGTGAATTCATCAAACTTTTCCTTCAAATTAAGTGAAGATGGAATTTATGTCTTATATAAGTGAAGATATTCTAACTAAATTTCTAATAAGTATATATTAGAATTTTTTTCAAAGATCTATAATACCCCTTTTTGCAAATACTTAAAATATTAGGTGCCCATTAATTTTAATTAAATAAATATTAAAATTTTAAAAAAGAACAATAAGTGAAACTCTTTCTCTGATCTTTTATTACTTTGATTAATGATTTTTATTTTAATAATTGAGCCTAACTCAAAAATTTAGTGTTGATTACCAAATATATATATATTTTTAACATAGTTCATTCAATTAACAAATTTCTTTTAATCTCTTTTAGTAAAAAAAGTTCTTTTATCATTAATCATAGTGAAATATTTTAATTAATTAAAATTTTAATTGAATTAATAAAAAAAATGTGTTTTTATATATCTAGTGATTTGGAATTGAAAAAAATACATTCACTTCTAATGATGGAAGAAATACTAAAAAAAATTGTGTATTGAGTTTTGATTGCTATTTTTTAATTTTACGATAATTTTTTTAACTAATATTAATAAAAATTTAATATTTTAACAATTACATCTAAAATTGGGTATTGTAAACATTATAAAAATTTCTAATACATTTATAATTAATTTTGTTAGAACATTTTCACTTATATAAGATTACAAATTATACCTTTACCTAATAATGAAGATAAATTTAATACACGTATGTTCATGGATGTTTCTGTAAAAAGTCAAACTTGGACTTAGGTAGTTTCCATGTCATCAAGACCCACCTTGATCTAAGAGCCTATTAATGCCTCAACATGCAGTTATCAAAAGGCCCAACAATATCTGATGCTGTAATACATGGCTAGGCCCAATGATATCTAATGCTGTAGTACATGGTTGCATTGCCAAAAATACATAAGGAAGTCTCTTTCCTTTATTATTTACTTATATATTAAATTTCATCATTTTCATCAACTGATCATTATTCCTTTATGCAGGTCATTAATAAACCCATGAATCCAAGCTCATGGGGATATTCGGGATAAACTATGGGGGTAATGGCTTAGCAAGAATGGATGGGTGAACATTGCTTGTCTAGCACAGCAAGGTATTTGCACCAGCGAAGCTTGGCGTTGACGATGTTGCCCGACTTGGCCAGAAAGGGCTGGGTGGCAAAGACGTGAAAGCAGACTTTATCCCCAAAATCAATTGTTTGATACTAACTAAAAGCTTAAAATCTTGTTCAAAACCAATTAGAGATGACATCTTGGTCACCATCAGCAACTTGCAACAGTATTCAATGTAAAGGTTGACTCCACAAGTTACAGTGCATGGGAAACTGTTGAAAAGGATCACATTTTGTCTAGGAAATCCACCAAAATCCTTGGTAGAATCTTGGCCAGATTGATTTTGCCGGCTGCACTCAAACACCCCCCCACAAAAATGGTATTTTGTATGGCTAGAGAGTTACCAAAAGTGGACAGTCTTCAGCAGATTAGCAGTACTTTGCTAGAACTAGCAATACTTTGCTGGAACCACTTGGTAATTCATAATATCATTACCAAAAAACTATCAGCAATGCCAAAAGCCACTCAAAACTTGACAACTCGCCCAAATCTACCCATTAGGCCGTTGTACACCTTTGACCCATCAAGCAAAAATTTTAAAAATGCTATTGCACACATATTTATTATTTTACAAGATCATGATTTATTTCTAAAATTTATATCAATCTCGAAATGGCTAGCTTTCTAACTTGTCACTTCCCGTGGTTTCCCGTCCTCGGTTTCACTTCCTGAAATGGTGGACAGGGAAAAACTATGAGATAAACTCCGTAAGTAAATATGGAGTGCCCCTTATCAAACTTAAAGCATGCCAACAAGTACAATCACGAAAACAGATACAATACGAGCACGAAATAGACGTCTCCTCTATAGGTCACGGCCAGTGTATAATCCCCACTAGCAGGGCCACGATTTGCTGGTGTATAACCCCCACTAGCTGGGTTGAACGAACTGGCTCTCTCACTAACATGTCGACATGTGCTAGTGTTTATAACCTCCCCCACTAGCAGGGTCACAAATAACATGACCACATCGGAAACAAAACAAGCAGAAGTTAATAGGAAAATCACGATTCACAATCACTTTCAGATCATCAAGACAGTTCACAATCACTTTCAAGTAAGCATGCTCAATTTAATGAAAAACATAAACATTTCACTTCAAATCAGTCATGCTCGTGTAAAACGGGTTTAGTCCCGCCACCACTTCAAAAACAAATCAAAACATGCTTGAAAAGTCAAAGGGCGTTACCATAATTTTACTTACCTTACTTGCATAAAACCAAGCACTCAATTCACGCACTAACTGACAGAACGATCGGGAACCTAATCAAAACACCTCAGAATTAATACCGGACTATCACAAATTCAAGCTGAAATCATCATTAGAATCATTCCTAATCACAATGCTATTTCTATAAATCTCCACATGATCAAATATCTCCAAATTCATTCTTATATCACAAACTAATCACTTAAATCCCCGTTAATAGTTGGCCCTCGGGGTGTGAACAGTGCCCATGAACAGTACCCATGAACAGTACCGTAAACAGTAACTGCACTTCCAAAATTGGCCAAAACACTAACTAATTCCACAGGATTTTCTCCAAAAATCTCACAACAATCAATTAACACTCAATCACATAAGTCTCACTTGAATTAAGCAACAAAACACACTTAAATCCCTCTTAATTGCTACTGGAATTTCCCCATTTCCTAGCCAAATTCGGACATCACAAGCAGCAACTTTAAATGGATAATTTAAGCCTTAAAAGGCTGTCACATACCATAATTCTCCAGCTGTAGAAACTGGAGCTGTAGGGGGGAGGAGGCCGACGGCAAGTACAGGGGAGAAACTCATGGAAACTACCCAAAATTGAAGGAAATAAGAGCAATCAAATTTAACCCAAGCCAATTCAAGCAAGAACAAAGGAATTAGGGGCTGTTCTGACCGAAAAAAATGCCCAGAAATCGCCCACAATCAAGAGCAGTTGGCGGAAGGACAAAGCAGAGCAGGGCAGATCCGGCTTTTCCAGCAGGGGGGAAGATTTCTGGGTTCTAGGTGTGTTCTAGAGCAAGAAAGGAAGGAGAAAACCAAGCTTATCTCACCGGTTTCTCAAAGGCATGGCTGGGTTCCCCTTTTTTTTTTCTTTCGAGTGGCTGCAGCGGGAAGAAAGGAAAAGAAAAGCAGAATCGGGAAATGGCTGGGGAAGAAAAGAAGGAAAAAGAAAAAGAAAAGAAGTCATCCTTATCCAAATTCTTTCCCTCTTTAAGTCCCTCAGCTTTCAGAATGTTCACATTAGGCCCCAAAACAATCTTTTCTCACAATCAAGTCCTTAACTTACACTTAAATATTCCCGAAAATTTGGGATATTACAATAATAGAGGGCATATTCATTGTCATTGTTATTATGTTATAATACTCTATGTATAAATGTGCTCCTCAAGTTGTAATCTTTGATCATCATGTATTTTTTATCCTTGACGCTCCTACCATAATGTATATTTCCTTTTTATATTTTTTGGTGGTTTGTAATCATTCCTAGTTCCAATATCAAGCTTTTTCGACTTCGCTGAAAAAGGTTCACTCTCAAACTTTGCTAGAGGCATCGATTTGGCTAGGGACGCTTTATTCCCAAACTTCACTAGGAAGCTTCATTTCCAGACTTTGCTGGAGAAGCATTATTCCTAGTCTTTGTTGGAGAAACTTTATTGAACTTCACTGGAGAAACTCTATTTTCGAACTTCACTAGAGAAAATCTATTTTTGAACTTCATTGGAGACACACTACTCCCAGTCTTCGCTAAAGAAACTCTACTTCCTGACTTTGTCGGAGAGAGCTTATAATTTGTCCTTACAAGAAGAAGGAGTATCATCATCACCTCACTTTTTCGATTTGGCTAGAAAATTTGTACTTTCAGATTTTGCTACAAAGTTTGTTGCTAACCAACATCACTGGACAGAACAAGACGGCCCATGGCACGTAGCCTCTTGCACGTGAAACAGGTGTTGCCAAAAGGACCCTCCTCATCATCCACAGGTGGCATCTTAATCAACCTCCACATCATCACTATTGTTGACTCATCAACCTACATTACTAGCAAATCCTAACAAAAATGGCGACTCCACTAGGGAGGTTGTCCTAGAAATTTGTCTTGTTTTACTCTTCTTTAGCGGTATAATATCTTCAATATTTTTCCTCAACAATATTTATTCATCTTCAGCAAAATTTTTCTGACTATGCTTGTCACGAGAGCAACTTCATCTCGCACTGTTGGCAAAAATCAAGAGTTTGGCCAAGATGATGAGTAGGAAGTTCAGTAGCCATGTCCATCGACATACATTTTTAATTATCTCTTGCAAGAAATCACTAATCCAAGCCTTGCATCTCTGGTTCAAGTCATTGGGGCCTTGCATGAGGGTCAACAAAGGACTACTTAACTTCTCACCAACTTGCAAGCTCAACATACTGTGCAGGATCCAACGCAACCAGTCAACATGGCTGGGACGTCCCAGTTGCAGAAGGTCCAAACTAGGGCCACTGATAGTAATCAGGGCTCTGTTGTGCAGCGAAATAACTCAGCACCGCCAACAATTGCAACCGCTAACACCAACGAAGTTTTACCTAATGCAGCCGACTCTGCTTAAGGCTTCATCATCGTGGTAGACCTTACTGCTCTCTTGGACAGGGAGTGTTCCAGACAAAGTTCAGTCACTTTTTAGTTCATCCATGATCCACCCTATCCAAAAAAGATTCAGTCCAAGCCCTACCCGAAGAAATATGAAAGTTCTACATTCTCGCAATGTGATGGGAGGAAGGGCAATAGTGTAGAGCATATTAGTAAGTTCCTCGATGCCATGGGGGCTCACACCAGTCATAAAAACTTGTGCGTACGTGAATTTTCTAATTTCTCTTCAATAGAGCTTACACTTGGTACACTACTTTGCTCATTGGCTCAACTCATTCTGAGGATGAAATGGTTGAGTAGTTTTGTCGAAAATATTTTCAAAGTGAAGAGTGCATCACCATTCTTGATCTTTATAATACTTGCCAATGTGTTGGTGAAGATTTGGTGGTTTACGTAAAAAGATTGAGATTTGGCACTTGATTGTCATGGTGGCCATGCTGAATCTTTCTTGGTGGAGATCTGCATCAACAACATGTTCCTAGAATATCGTGCTATCCTTGAAAATACTGAGATCAATCAGTTTGAAAGGCTACTCAATGTTGCCAAGAGAACATTTATTTTTGTCAAAATTATCTCTGTTGGAAAGTCTTTAGCAAAGTCAACAAACAAGAAGGCCACTACTCACACCTCATCTATCCATGCAAAGCGAAGCAAAATGTCTAGCTTTTAAAGTAAGGAATGAAATATCCTATAAGCACTTTCTGTCTCCTAGCGAAACTGATCATCTTACATCGCTAGACAAACTTGCCTATCATTTTACTTCATCAGCATTATAGTCTCATGGCTTCAAACCAACTGACAATATTATCTGTTTGCACAAGTAGCATTTGAATATTTTAGATTTGCTTATTGTTGGGGTGTGTTGGTGATGTAGATTGATGAGTCAACAATGATGATGATGTGGAGGCTAACTAGGATGCCACCCACGAATGATGAGGAGGATCCTTTCGGCGGCACCCATTTCACATGCAAGAGGCTATGTGCCACAGGCTGTCTCGTTTTGCCCAACAATGTTGGCCAGTAACAAATTCTCTAGCAAAGTCTAAAGGTGTAAATTTTCCAACCAAGCTGAGGGGAGAGCTAGTAGCAACGATAGAGCTCAAAGATGTCCAACGATGTTGGTCAGCAACAAATCCCCTAGTGAAGTCCGGGAGTAGAGTTTCTCCAACGAAGTCCAAAAATAGAGCTTCTCTAGTGAAGTTTGGGAGTAAAGTTTCTCCAACAAAGACCAAGAGTAGAGTTTCTCCAACAAAGTCTGAAAATAAAGCTTCTTCAGCGAAGACCAAAAATAGAATGTCCCAAGCCAGGCCACAAAGAGTGGAGTGATGATTGTGCTCCCAGGATAACAAGAATGATTACACAACTACCAAAAATAATGAATAGATTCACTTGCATAATTTAAAATGATAGATGTAGTTTAGAAGTACCCTGCTGATGACTCTCAACATTATAGATATATGGCTGGAATGTTGGCCTTAGTCACGTCATTGTTGGAGTTCCAACAATGATGATGCGATTCCTCTTTGAAAATTAATGGATCTAGAGTGGGATACAACAAGTAGAGATTTTTTTTCCTCGCATTGTGCATGTAACCTAAAGCCAAAGAAAAGTTGAAGTTGCTTCGAAGATAGTCATTAGCAATTGAGAAATTAACTACCTCTCTTGAAAAAATTGAGTTGAAATTCCCTTAGCCCCCAGCCATAGGCTAGGCTAAGAGTATGAAGCTTCTATTGGCTTGCTCAAAAATAAGGAAGAGAAAGATAAGGAGGCAAATCTCTTCCAATGCTGATAAATTTCTTAGCAATCACGTCAACTCTAACTTTCATGCATACAAAACTGTTGGGGATGCTTGCATCGCTGAAAGTAAGCTTTTTCGACAAGACAGTGCAGTAGTGTTGGGAAACCAAATAATAGACTTCGCTATAGGTGATGCATGCCACTTAGAGAAATTGGTTGTGATTACACCATCCATGCTATCATTTATCATGTAGAAAGACTGCAAGACCTCATAAATTATTGCGCAGAGAGAGTTGCATGGCAATTTGGCTATGACTTAGATGTTCTGCCACCTTTTTTCTTGGATAGCTCTGATTGGGACTTGGCCATAAGGCCTTATATCATTGATGTTGCTGCAACCATATGGAGTAAGGCCTTACATTACTGATGTCACCGCAGCTATATAGAACGAAAACACCGTGTGATTGCCCATGCTTAGAATTTGGAACAATGAACATGGCCAAAGCAAGAGTGCTGGTGGCGAGCAAGGATAGGAGGCTAGTGATGTTACGACTGAAGGTAAATAGACTTCTCCATTTTTGCTTTAAGCCTCAATTCTTCTTCCATTTGAGGTCTTGGCATGGCTGGATATAATAGAGAGATTTTTGCACTTATGTTGTTTGTGCAATTTTGTAGGTGAAATCAACCAAGTAATTTTTTCCAAAAAACCAGCATTAAGCAATACAGGAGTATGTCTAAGCCATCTAAGAGTGAAGCTCACAAGTCTGGTGTTTTGTTGGCCATCAAACAAATCAAAGTGAAAGCATCCATGCTTGATGAAGCTAAAATGCCCAAGGAAAATGAAGATAAGGCAGGTGTGGGCACTGATGAGCTTTCCTTGCATAATCAACAAGCTTTCTATCGTTGTTGACCTCACTAAGAAACCATCAATACGTGAGTCATTGTTTTTATGTGCAGCCCCTAGCCTCTAGTGAAGGGCTGGACTCCATTCTTATTCCTGGCAATGATGAAGTTTCATCCAAGGCAAAAAAGGGCAAGAATGTGTAGGCTTTGATGAAGAACATGGATGAGGCTTTGGCGAAGAACATGGAGGAGGCTCCGGCGAAAAACATGGAAGAGGCTCCAGTGAAGGACATGGAGGAGGATCTAGTGAAGAATATTAACAAAGCTCTAGCGAAGTTTATAGTATGTTGTAAGATCATTGTTGGTGAAGCAAATGAACCTTTGCTGCTTGACAGCATAATTGGCTTAATTGATGATATCTTTGATTGAAATGATTTTGCATCCTTTGCAGCTAAAGTGCAACGAAAAAAGAACAAAGGCAAGTGCAGCTCAAAACTTCTACCTTTTGTATAGATGTAGACAAGAGGAGAATAGGAAACTTGAATTTTGGACGCTAAACACATGGTGCCGACACTGTGAATCATGTATCGACATTACAGCTGTGTTGGGTTTCTTACCTCTGTTTGCAATTTCTTCAACGGTAAAAATGCAGATTTGGTCCTTCAAATTTGTATGATAAGCAGTTAGATCCTAAAACTTAAGATTCATTCATTAGGTCCCAAAGAAGCACCTTTTTTCTTGCAATTCAGTCCCTCAACTTTCAAAAGATATTCAATTAATCCCAAAACTCCTATTATTATTCATTCAAGTCCTTTTTTTTTGTTCTTTAACAACCACAAAGCATTTTCGCCATTGCTGGAGCCATCACATTTTTCGCTTAGCCATCTTTTATGATAATAGAGCAGGCCCAAGAATCACCTCCTTTTAAAGCCAATGATGTTGTCTTGGCATCAAAGAAGTCTTCAACTTTTCCTTTAGAAAAATAGGATATTTGCTAAATAGTTGGCTCTTGCTTGCTTTGCCAAATGTTGAGGGTGATATGGTTGGGATTCAACTAGCTACCAGCAAAGATAAAGTCAAGAAAGCTGCTGTAGAGGCCTAACCCAAAGTCCAGCAAAGACAGTGACGTGAAATCCACCAAGAATGATGAAGCATCAAGAGCTAGCCATAAATTCAACCATGAGAGTGAAGATGAAGATGATGGCATGTTTGATGTTGAAGTTGGCATAAAAAGTTGTGCCAGATAAAGGCATGCCATACTTGGTTGTGGCTTTAAAAGAATCCATTCCCAACAAAGACGAGATAAATGTTGATGAACCAGTCAAGAGCATATTGAAGAAGGCTGTTAGCTCTAGAAAAATCATGTCTAAAGACAAGTCTTCCTTTGTTCCAGCCAAGTTAAGTGATATAGACAACATGCACAACAAGGCTAAGAAAGTAATGATTGAGAATGCCTCCAAAAATCTTTACGCAACTGTGAGGATGAAAGTAACTCCCTTTGCTGAGATGGTTGAGGAATTCTTTCATTTGTGTAGGGATGCCATAGATGACGCCAAGAGCATAAGTTTCAGAGTTGGAGGAATTTAGGCTAGCGAAGGCGTACCTTGACAAAGGCAAGTTCAACATGGCTGGGAGCGACATGGCTGGCAACTGGGATGAGCAGATTGACAAGCTAGCGAAGCATGTTGAAAATGTGCAAAATTCCTTGGTTGATAAGAAAGAGCTAATGCTTAAGCTAGCGAAGTTGCCCAATGAAGTCGCCTAGCGAAGTTGCCCAACGAAGTCACCTAGCGAAGTTACTTAGATAAGTCACCCACTTCGTCAAAATTGTGTTGAAACAACCAATAATATGGTGATGAGCCTAGTCCATTTGTCATATGAGTAGCCATGTTCTTCAGCCCCCAATGTTGATGCACTTCGTCAAAGTAGTAGAAGTACTCATCAAGTGTAAGAATATTGCTAGCAAGAAATACTAGCCTTAGAAGAACACACCATTAGCAAGTCGAGAATGACGTAAATGCTGACCATGGGAAAGGAACCACCATCACATAATAAGTCTATCATGACACAAATGCCACCCAAGAGATGATCGAGCAACATCGCTAGCAGGTCTTGATGTGACACAAATACTAGCCATGAGAGATAAAAATGCTGCTAGCAAACCAAAAATGGCTGAAATACTGTCCATAAAAAATAACAATACCAGCAAGTCTCGAAGAGGGACCAATATTAGCCATGAAAGATAACATCACCAACAGGCTTTGAAGATGTAGTAATATTGGCCAAGGAATATAATACTATCAGCAGACCTTGCATAGGCATGAATTCTGGCCATGAAGGATGATATGACCAGTAGGCCTTGAAGAGGCACTAATACTAGCCATAAAAGATAGTATTGCCAGCAGGCCTTAAAGATGCCACAATACTGGCCATGAAAGATAACATCGCCAATAGACATCAAAAGGGCACTAATACTGGCTATGTAAGAGAAGTAACCTCTCCGGCAGGTTGGCAATGATGTGACTCAAGTGCTAGTAATGCATTTGATGTTTAAGCAAATTTAAAAGATTCAAATGCTACCGCCAGTTGGTTTGAAGCCATGACATTATAATGTCGATGAAGCAAAACGATAAGCAAGCTTGTTTGGCAGTGTAAGATAATTAGCTTCGCCAGGAGACATAAAGTGCTTATTGGATATTTCATTCTTGGCTTCATAAGCTAAATATTCTGCTTCGCTTTGCATGGATAATTGAGGTGTGGGCAGTGGACTTCTTTTCTCTTGACTTCGCTACAGACTTCCAACAGAGATAGCTTTGACAAAAATGGCTATTCTCCTAGTAGCATTGAGTAGCTTTGCAAACTGACTGATCTCGATATTTTCAAGGACAACACGATATTCTAGGAACATGTTGTTGATGCAGATCTCCACCAAGAAAGATTCAGCATGGCTACCATAGCAATCAAGTGCCAAATCTTTAAATCTTTTTACATAAACCACCAAATCTTCGTCGGCACATTGGCAAGTATGATAAGGATCAAGAATGCTGATGCACTCTTCACTTTGAAAATATTTTTGACAAAATCGCTCAACCATTTCACCCCAAGAATGGATAGAGTTGGGAAGCAAAGTAGTGTACCAAGTGTAAGCTCTATCAGAGAGGGATTTAGAAAACTCACGTAGGCACAAGTCCTTATTGCCGACGTAAGCCCCTAAGGCATCGAGGAACTTGCTGACATGCTCTACACCACTGCCCTTTCTCCTATCATATTGCGGGAATGTATGACCTTCATATTTATTTGGGTAGGGCTTGGACAAAATCTCCTTTGCGTATGGTGGATCATGGATGAATTAAAAAGTGGCTAAACTTTGTCTAGAACGCTCCCTGTCCAAGAGAGCAGTAAGATATACCATGATGACAAAGCCTTGAGTGGAATCGCTACGTTAGGTGGAGCTTTGTTGATTCTAGCAGTTGCAATTGCTGGCGGCGCTGTGTTATTGGGTCGTGCAGCAGAGCCCCCAGTGTTATCGGTAGCCCCATTTTAGACCTTTTGTGGCTGGGACGCCCCAGCCATGTTGACTAGTTGCGTTGGATCCTAAACAACATGTTGAGCTTGCAAGTTGGCAAGAAGTTGAGTAGTTCTTTGTTGATTCTTGTGTAAGACGCAAATAACTTGGACTAGGGATGCGAGATTAAGATCAATGACTCCTCCCAAAAGATCATAAAAAATGTGTGACAGCAAACATGGTTGCTGAACTTCCCGCTCATCATCTTGGCTAGGCTCTTGATTTTTGCGAGTAATGCAGGATGAAGTTGCTCTCGTGATAGGCATGGTCAAAAAAATCTTACTGAAGATGAATAAATATTGCTGAGGAAGAATATTAAAGATATTATACTATTGAGGAAGAGCAACACAAGACAAAGCTTTATGACGATCTCCCCAATGAAGTTGCCATTTTTTGTTCGGGTGCGCTGGTGATGCAGATTGATGAGTTAGCAATGATGATGATGTGGAGGATGACTAGGATGCCACTTGCAAATGATGTGGAGGGCCATTTTGGCGACACCCGTTTCACGTGCAAGAGACTACATGCCACAGGCCATCTCGTTCTGCCCAGCAATGTTGGTCATCAACAAATTCTCTAGCAAAGTTTGAAGGTGTAAGTTTTCCAGCCAAGCCGAGAGTGAGAGCTAGCAGCAATGATAAAGCTCCAAGATGTTGAACGATGTTGGTCAGCAACAAATCCCCCAGTGAAGTCTGGGAGTAGAGTTTGTCCTACGAAGTCCAGGAGTAGAGTTTCGCCAACGAAGTTCAAAAATAGAGCTTTTCCTATGAAGTTCGGGAGTAGAGTTTCTCCAACGAAAACCAAGAGTAGAGTTTCTCTAGTAGATTTTGAAAATAGAGCTTTTCCAATGAAGACCGGAAATAGAATGTCCC